CAGCTCTAATTTTAATGACCTTCAATGAACTTTTGTCAACAATATTATTTACTGAAGTTAAATGAGGATAAAAAGTGAAAGGTTTAGAATTCTGAACTTTAATTACATATTGATTATATGTGTCTTTCTGAATTTAAGTTCTTAGTAATATAAATTAGCTCTCCATAGTTTAACATCACCACAGTTAGAGCAATATAAGTTGAAATTTAATCCATGCAGTTCTATCAGATTAAGTAAGTCCCTAAACCATGCGATTTTTTTAATATTATCTGTAGTGCTAATATTTTTGGATATCTATGTGGTGGAACATTACAAATTTTTATAATGTAACCAAAATGGAGTTTAATTGTGAATATAAATAACGGATCTATTTTAGTCTCAAAGTGAATTAAAGTATACTTTGGTAATTTAAATTTTTTTTTTTTTAAAGGAATCTTAGTAGTCATAACTTACCCCGCCCCAGATTTGTGCTCCATAGTAGATCACTGCCCTACTAACGGAATTAAATACTTTTTGCATAGAGCTATGTCTTTGTTTTCCATAAACCGGCGCCAAATCCAATTGAAACTCACCTTGGCTTTCTCCAGTTTGTCTGCCAGGTGTTTGGACATTGGGAGAGTAGGCGTGAGAACTATTCCTAAATATTTATACTGTTTAACTACGTCTATACTTTTGGAGCTCATGAACCATTTTTCTTTATGTGATGGCTTACTGCCATTGCAAAAGACTATTATTTGAGATTTTACGAGCATACTTGTAAAATTCATAAGGGATCCTATCACTTCCTGGTGCTTTGTTATTTTTGGAGTTACCCAAAACCGCTTTCAACTCACCATGAGAGAAGGGTCTATCTAAAATAGCATTAGTAATATTAGGTTGAATGTATAAAATTCTGTTTGAGATTAACGGAGGGTTGTACAGAGTTTTAAAGTGCATAAGCCAATCTTGATTGATATATTAGCTACAGATCAGCAATTACCTTTTGTAAATACTTTTACAAGTTCCCAAAACTCTTTACTGTTATTAACCTTATTCAGACGCTGGAAAAAATTTATATAATATTGCTTCTTTTATAGACTTTTATACGTACTGCTTTATACGTACTTTTATAAGTACTATTTGAATTGAAATACTGCAATCTATGATAGGGGACGAGGTTTTTCTAAATAACTTTAAACTTATAAATGACATCTTTCTAGCCTGGAAACACTCCTTATCGAACACTGGATTTTTACTTTTATATACTGACCTTGGGAAAGGATTATAATTAACATACCTCTTGATGATATTTGAGATAATGTCTATCAAATCTTCTACCGAATGCTTATTTACAGATTGACGGTTAACTAAACCATGCACCCTAGAATGATAAACTTACTCAACCAATTAATTTTTGGGAGAAGTGGTAAAGTAGACTGTTCAGTTATTTCATTTTTAAAGCTTCGTACAAATCTTTTCTTCTCTTTCTGTCCACTAACTTTCGGTCATGGACTATAGAACAATTAATTTCACTGAGCTTATCCCTCTTTTCAAACAAATTCATTTTTTTCCTATGGCTAACAAATGAAATTAAAATTGGCCTAGGGGCCTCACATCTCCCTAGTCTCCGGCAATATGAAATATCCTTGACAGATAAGTTGGTCTCAGTTCTATTGAATAAAGGTTTTACTGTATCATAGACATCTTCAGGCTCTTCTCTTTGAGGCTCAGGAACTTTATATATGATAGTATTATTTTTAATTAGTTCTCGACTGAGATTATTTATTTCTTCCTTCTGCATCTCTACATTATTTTCTAATAAGGCCTGTTTAACTTTACCAGCTTGAAGTTCCTCAATTATTTGGGATATTGCTTGTTTTATTTGAACAAAGATCGTTTCCAATGGATTCAGTGTTTTTTGTATTTATTTTTATTTCTGTCATAATGTTCTTAGCGTTATAGAAGGGGCCATTTTATTATAAATTATATTGTTGCTAATGTTTTATGTTAATGGGAGTTGCTCACCAGCTGATGAGATAGGTGGAGAGTATGTCACGCCGGCTTTGATATCTGATGTATTTTTGACGGATTACAGCACGTACGCCCCCACTATTACTTCTTGTACATCATCTACCTATTGCTTGTACCAATTGTCTGGAATAAGGAATCTAGAAGAAAGTATCTTCACCTTATTTTTCCGCAGCCACTTCACAAATTATCACCAAATTGAAATATAGTGTTCCTTAATAGGTATGGTAACAACTAGTCACAATTTTTTTCAAATTATTTCACTTTGAACTTATAAAATTGAAAACTATCACAGATCTGAACTGCACTGCTTCACGGCCAGAACCAGACTCTGCCTATATATGTAATATATAGTAAGGGTAAGTATTGCGGTCGTGAAAATTTTTGAATCTGAGTTTTCAAAGGAAATACACGTTTAGAGGTCCCCTGAGTTCAAATAACCAAGTCCTGCTAAATGGTCTGTGTGTGTAAGTATGTGTGTCTGTTAACAGTGTAGCTCAAAAACGAAAAATCGTACGGCAGTGAAATTTTATATTTAAGGTTTTTATATGCTAGGGATGTTACAGCAACTTTTTCGTCGAAATCGGCTAACCGGAAGTGACACTTAATATAATGGACTAAACACATTTTTACGATTATCTCGAAAACCGCTCTAAAGATTTTGAATATATTCATCACATCAGTGTAACATTAAGCAGTTTTAAATAAAATATAGTTTTTATTCCGATTGATGTTCTTTAACAGGGCTTAAATGGCTAATTTTCAATATTAGCTTCCTCTAAAGTACCTTTATTTTTTTTATTTGAAACCATTGTCCATTTCACATTAATTTCTAAAATGAAAAATGGTTAAATATAAAATATGAAAGAATTTGATAACTAACTAAAGGAGTATTAAGAGATCGTAACGGAGAATAGTTGTAATTGGGGAACCAAAAGAATACGAGTGCACTCAAGCTCGCCCGAAAGATTAGAACACGCTTCCGGTTAGAACAGACTCCGACAATATTATATAAACATACATATTTGGTTTCCATAAATACTATTGTTGGTATTATTTAATATTTAATTGTATAGATTACAGCATATAAATATTAAAATTTGTATATATGAGGGTACTTATACAAATAAAATACCCACAATGAAATATAAATAAATGTAGAGTCTATAATTTTTACATTCGCTTCGCTTTGTCTGAAAATGCTTATTTCTTCTATGAAGAGGGTGGTAAGTGAAAGTTTTGTGATGCGAACACTACACCAGATCTTTTTTTTAAAGTCCTCAGTATCACATGCTTTTGCTACTTAATAAGTAGGTATTATATTATCCGTTTGTTGAGGGAACATTTTATCAGGAGGAAATTTAATTCGACCCCAAGCCCCCTTTTTTTTTTTTTTTTTTTTTTTGATAAGGCGCTAGAGAGCTTAGAATATTCCGAGGACTCCCCAATGCTTCAATTAAAATATAGAAAAAATAAAATAAATATACTTCGTAGAAAAAAAAAAATAATAATGCTATAAAGTTAAAACAAATTAAAAAATGTCCATTTTTTAAAAAAATAATATGATGAAAAAAGAAACAAAACAAATGAATGAAAAATAAATCTCATCTGTCAGACCAAGCGGTATACGTATTACTGCGACTGTCCTAGCCTAAGTCTACGACGTAACGGATATCAAAGAAAAAAAAAGGCTCTAAAAGTATTGCTACTCTAGTAATTAGATTTAATATGACTTCAAGAATTTCTAATAAACCATTTCATATAGTTTCTTTCTTTTTCTAGTTAATAAGTTTTAGGGCTGAAGCCCCACCCAAAATTAGTTGCTGGATCGGTTAGTGCCGAACGCTGCCGACGGGTATCGTTGGTTTATTACAGTAATTATTAGCGGAACCAGGATTTAATTTTGATAAGAGGGCTTCAGCCCGAAAGCTTTTTTATTTTGTATATATAACGATGATTACCTAGGAAGAAACAGAAAGAAACTACCTTTATGAAATAGTGTTAAAATGATTCTCCAAGTTCTATTAAATGTAATTACAAGAATAATAATAGATTTAGAGATAAATTTTTTATGTTTTTTTCACAATACATAGTTATATTTTACCATTTTGGAGAGGGAGGGTTTTCAGCCCGAAAGCCCTAATGCTACGTATATCCGCCTGTGTCACTGATTGTAAGTAAGCAATATTTTAAAAATTATATCACTGAGTAATTAGATGAACTTTCCCTCGGTTTATTCAAAACATCATGCAATCAGTGAAACTATGTTTGGCATATAAAATAATTTGTGTTATTTTGATGTACCTAGTGAATTTCGACATTAAAAAATATGATCGAAATTCACAAATATGCACTTAAAAGTTTAGTTTCATCAAAAGTGTACTTAGTTGGTTTTTATAATATACCTTCGATGTAAATTACAAAACTATTGAGAAATATTTTTCCAGGTTGAAAACGAGTCTCCGAAAATTAAAAATTCTGGTTATAAAAATATACATTCGAAAAGCTAAAGAATAATATATATATATATATATATATATATATATATATATATATATATATATATATATATATATAAATTATTCGAAAATAGTCGTAGAAGATAATAAAGAGTGGCGTAACACGAATAAATTTAACAAAAGATGAGAAAATATGTGGTAAATATTTTTTTAACTATGGATAGTATTTTTTTTAACATCTATTCTTTTTACTTTCTCTTCCATTGGTACTAAATCATCCTTATATAAATATGCAAATACTTATTTTACTCAATGTATGGTGGTATTTGAACCTTTTTTGATGCGCAAACCACAACACATTTTTAAAATAATGAAATTTAATTCGACCCCAAGCCCCCTTTTTTTTTTTAGTAATTAATGTAGTGTACTCTTACCTATACTTTGTGTGTTTATTAATTTTACAAAGCCATTGTTTCATTTTATTATTTATGGTATAATTTTATACTTGTTTAGTTACTGCTAAATATTTTTCAGAAGAAGGAGAAACAAGCGCTTCCGAAACTACATCTGAGCCAGCAGAGTCGGAGCTAGGATACAGTTTTGCTCCGACTGAGTTAGCCCCTTATCCCTGTCAGTTTTGTGACAAGGCCTTCTCTCGTTATAGCTATCTAAAGAAACATGAGCAGGTAGTATTGCTTAAAAAATTATTCAAATTTTTAATAATTATGATTCATTGTAAACCTATGATTTCCTGTCCTACAATATCCTTTAATAACTCCCCACTTATCCCTGTTGAACAAATCCGATATCTACGACTCCACCTGGACAAATGTCTCACTTCGAATCCTCATACAAGTCTCAAACGACGGTTTCTCGTCTACTCACTACTCACTTACTAAACAAACGCTCTAATCAATTACAAAAGACTCATACAAATGACAATAATATTACCTATTTGGACTTACGGAATTGAGCTTTGGGTCTCCACTAAACCATCGAATTCCTCCCGTATCCAATCCTTACAATCCAAATTCCTTCGTAAAATCCTCAACGCTCCTAACTTTGTCACAAATAAAATCTTCCATAACGACCTTAATGTTCCATATGTTTCCAAATTGGCCCAATCCAGATATATATCCTTCCATAATAAACTTCATAACCATCCGAATCTTCTCTTTTCTAATCTTGCTTCCTCTTCGATTCCTGACAAACCTCCGAGGCGTCTGAAAAGAAGATGGTCTCGTGATATCCTTATTTAGACATATTATTAGAGTGCTACCAGTGGGTAGTTTCTCAGCAATCGTTTTCATGTGATTATATTCCTGTTTAAACATTTACTCCATGTATTTATATTGTAATACAGTTGTAAATATCATAAACAAAAAAATAATTATGATACATAAAATGAAAATATTAATTAGGTTTTAAGGGAGAAGACAATTTTGTTGTTAGGTTACAAGTTGTTCTTCTTATTATAGATTCTTTTTATCCTATCTAGGTTTTTCCTTGACCAGACTGAATATTTTGTGTGCATATGCTATGAATGCAAATTAAAACTATTACCTGTTTGTTTTAATGAGTCGGCAGGCCCGAATTGAATGATGAATTCATCAGGATAATTCTCTTATTTAGTGATCACATATTTCGTGTAGTTCACAATCGCATGTTTCTGTCAGATAACTCAAGGGGATAAATAGCAAAACTCGATCTTCCAACGATACCTAAGTCACCTACTTCGCCACTTGTTCCACTTGAATGGATCCCAGATTCATTTGGCTCTTTTTCAGACATAAATTAAATAATAGGCATGCAAGGGAATCGCCTTGTTGAACTCCATTATAATAATAATAATAAAAGGCTTAGCGAACCCGAAGGTTCGATACCGACACCACCAATCGCTTATTACACACCTCCCTCCACCGTTCACCGTCCAAACCCAGTCCCTTCAGATCGGCTATAAGGCAATCTTCCCACCTTCGCTTCGACCAACCCCTCGGACGTTTACCATTCGGTACAGCAAATATTAACCTTTTAGGAATTGTTTTGTTACCAAGCCCAACAATCTTACAAACCCATTTGATTCTCCGTGATGTTATCACCTCAATTATATTAACCGGATAAAGTTCATGTAATTCGGAGTTGTGTAACCGTCTAAACTCTCCTGTTGACTCAATCTTCTTGGGTCCGAATATTCTACGCAATACCTTATGTTCAAAAGCCTTAAGACATTGCTCATCCCTTAATACAAGCGGCCACGTTTCGCAACCATAAAGCACTGTAGGTAATAGATTCTAGTTTTTCAGTTGCGGGATAAGAGGCGCGAGCTAAGTAGTTTTGTCACAGAAAAATAACAAGCATTTCCTGCCTTCAGTCTAACCTTAATCTCCTCTTCAATTTTTTTTTCGAGTTATCGTAGACCCTAAATACGTAAAATTCTCTACGTGTACAAACATATTACCTTTAATATCGATATCACCATCAATATCAGAGTTTTTGCAGCTAGCCATATATTTTGTCTTATACGTGTTTGTTTCGAGCCCTCGTTCTTTGCCGACTTCAATTAACGTTTTCGTATTTAGTTTCATAGTTTCCGTGACTTCCCTTAACAGGACCAGATCATTCGCAAAGCCAAGCACGGGTGCAGTCTTTCCCAGATCCAACCCTTTTTTGGTAAGAATTACCTCCGTAATGGCATGTTCTAATGCCAAATTAAACAGGACAGGCGAAATGGAATCACTTTGTTTTAAACCCAAACGAATCTCAAACTTTTCGGACAGATTATTACCGATTCTAACTTTATTGAGTGTTCCTGTCAAGCACATCTTGACTAGATTTAATACTTTTTTTGGAATCCCCTGCTCGATCAGAATACTATACATTTTCTGGCGGTCAATAGAATCGTAAGCCTTTTCGAAATCGATTTACAGCTGGTGAACAACACCGGTGTACTCTAATGTTTTCTCCAATATTTGCCGTAAAGATAATATTTGATCAATAGTCGGACGGTTCCGTCTAAATCCTCATTGCTAATCTCCGATAAGTTCCTCTTTGTATTCTATGATCCAAAAAGTTAAGACTAAAATGAATATTTTATAACATACCAGAAGGAGTGAAATTCCTCGAAAGTTATTACAGTTCGTCCTCGGGCCTTTTTTCTGAATCGGAATAAGAATAGATCATTTCCATTCTTCCGGTAATTTTTCATTCTCCCAGATCTTTTTAACCAACAAATGTATTTTAGAAACTCCAGCTTTCCCGCATGTCTTTATTAGTGCACTAGGAATATTATCGGTCCCTCCTGCTTTAAAGGATTTTAATTTTCCGATACTATAGCTCTAGTACCAATGCCCTTCAGTGTGGCAGACTGTATTAATACTCAATAAAAGTTTAAAAAAAAAAAAAAAATTCCGATAGGTACTTCAACTTCCTCTTTACTTGTTTTTTTTTTTTATTAACAGTTCAGCACTCTCGTACTCAGAAGGAGGACACAGCTCATAATTCCTAATTAATAAAGCTGCTTTATAAGATTTTAATTTTCCGATAGCTACTTCAATTTCCTCTTTACTTGGCCCTTCTATTAACGGTTCAGCACTCTGGTACTCAGAAGGAGGACACAGATCATAATTTTCCGTATTTAAAACACTGTCAAAGTGATTCTGAAACTTATTTAATATGTCTACCTGATCGATCAGGATATTTTTATTTTCATCCCTAATTCCATACGTGACGGGCCCTAAACATTTTCATGATCTGTTTATACCTTTGTACATGTCTCTTACGTCATTTTCGATTCTATTAGCTTCTATTTCAATTATTTTATTTTTAAGATACTCCCTTTTTTTATTTTTTAGCAATTTTGTAGTTTCATTCTTTGAGGTTCTTAAGTATTCGAGATTGTCTTTGCTGGAATTATTTAGAACTTTTAATTTAGCAGTTTTTCTTTTATCACAAATGTTTAAACAATCTACATCGAACCACGGTTTGTTCTTTCCATTTTCCAAGACACGAGTTTAATGTTATCCGACAGCTTTAATGTTATCCCTGATCCCTACCCATTACTTGTCTATATCATCGGGGTCCGCGTCAGATGGTTTTAAAGATTCAAACCTATTCATAACATTAACCTCGAATTGAGTTCTAATTGATGTATTTTTTAATTTTTTTTTTTTTTAAAGTTTTTGTCGAAGTTTCGTGATTACTAATCCATGAACAGACCCACATTCTGTACCGCGATAAGATCGTACATTAATTATACTGCTTTGCCAGCTGTGTTGTTTCAAGACATGATCGATTTGATTTCGTGTTGCGAATCCGGTGATGTCCAAGTACATTTATGAGTATCCAACCGTAGTAGTGTTAATTATCGTGATTTCAAAGTTTATCAGACGGATCCAATTATCATTACTCACATTACTATGTTCGAGAAAACTTTCTATACCAATCGTCGGAAAACAAACTTCTCCCCTCCCCACCTTTACGGTTGCGTCATCTACAATTATTTTCATCCAGTTTGGCTGTAGTTTATCATAAGCCCAATCGAGTTTATCATAAAATTCGCTTTTGACTTCATCGTCAGTGTCCTCAGTCGGACAATGTATGTTTATTAACGCGATTTTAAACCGACGTTCCTGAAATATGGTTACCTTTATTCTATCACTAAAGAATTGTACGTCCCTGAAAGCGGATAGCAATCTATTCCTAATAAGAAACCCGGTACCTAAACAATGATTGTCGCTTCCTCCGTACCAAATAGAGTACTTTTCCTGCCTTATCGAGTCTTCCCCTGTCCAGCGAACCTCTTGTAGAGCCTCGATATCCAAATTGTATCCATTAACCTCATTCGCAACTGATTTTAACCCACCTGTTAAACTCAAACTCCTTACGTTCCACGTGCCAATACTTAAATCCCTATTTTTCAACTTGTGCCATGAAACCCCTAAAGCAGTTCCCACCCAGAGATCCGAACTGGGGACTAATTTACCTCCGGAAAATGAGTGTTTTACCTTAGGGAAATTCATGACTATTCGTGGTGTATAGTGATCTAAAGATATGTTAGTAGGGGATTCAATCCTACGTCACATCCTCCAGTAAGTCTGGAGGGCCCCTCTCATTGTTGTTCAGCGAGTCCATCGGACTTAGGCGGTAGGAACTTCCAAGGAATTTCCACCGACCATCCCCACATTCGCCACCAGTGGGACGCCTCCATATGCGGTAATGTGCCCGTGCGAGGTGTTGAACTTCATTAAGAGCTGTAAATTTCTGACAGCGATCACTGTGAATAAATAATCTTTTTAATGTTTTCCATCAGTAAGTCAGTTTTACTGGCGTATTAGTTTTACTGGGATATTGTCAGTACATTATAAGCTTTTTTTGCTGATACTTAAAATTAATGGGTTATTTATTTATGTTAATCCTAATCCAATAAAATTAGGTCCTAATTTTATTAATTGCATTATTGTTTCAGAAAAAATAATAATAAATATTTTAGTTGAAATATTAAATTGTATAAACAATTTAAACCAGTTTTTGTTGTTATTATTTGTAGTTAAATGATCTGGTCTTATTTTAAAACATTGTATTTATAATGCTACATGATATGTGTGGAAATTACGGTAAATGATTCTATTTAAATAGGTCAATTTTGTGTTTTAGTCACATAGTGGTTTGCTGCTCTTTCGCTGTGATTTTTGCAATAGGTTATTCAAACATAAAAGGAGTAGAGACAGACATATCAAACTCCACACTGGAGACAAAAAATACAAATGCAGCCAATGTGAAGCGGCATTTTCCAGAAGGTGATTGTTATTCATATATATTGCAATAGATATAGTATCACTTACCTCATATTTTTTCACATTATACAATTCTAAGAAAACCAATGGTGTATGAATCAAATATGTTGTGTTATGAATTTGACTAGAATATAAATGAGAATCCTCTTTTAAATTATCAAGTTGAAGACACTGTATTAAACAACTTTTCCTAACACATATTCTTCCGGTAATGTTTTGCACCGCTATTCACAAAATGCTGGTATCTTTTTCTCTCTATTTCGTAATGTTTTTAATTTTGTAATATGTCATTTTATCTCTATTTTTCATTGAGCTTCTGAAAACTCAAAAACATCCATTTGCTTTGCACTCAAATCGTTAAATTTTTTATCTCCAAATCGAGAAAAAACTAAGCCTTACAAAAATACTGAGCCGTTTGGCGTGACCTCTACCCCAACATATCAAAATAACGAGATTATATAGGCCAAAAGGTCCAATATTTTTTTAGGCCACCTTTTTTTATCGATTTTGTGATCAAATTATCTTATCATTCAAGTGGAAAACAAACATCTTCCCGAAAACTACATTAACCAATATTTTAAAAATATATACAGAACTTTAATAATAACATGTAAACTAAAAATAAAATCTCATTAATAGATAAAATTAGAATGGAAAAAGAGAAATTAAAACCTGAAGAAAAGAAAAAATAAGTAAAGAAAAGACGTTGATTTGTTTTATGTTAAAACATTAACAGTAAGAACGGCTATTTACTTCTAACAAAATGCAATTTCACTATTGCAGAGTGCTGTTAAAGAAGCAAGGCGGTATTGGAAAAGGAGGCTTTTTGAATAATGATCTCGTTTATGTACTTACATACACACACACATATATATATATATATATATATATATATATATATATATATATATATATATATATATATATATATATATATATATATATATGCATCGAAATAATAATTGGATATATCTTAGTAAAATATGGATATATTGTACATCCATAATTTAAATATTTAAAAATTGGTGTAAGTGTTTAAAAGAAGTGTAAAAGGTTAAAATTGACCTATTAGATATGTAATAGTTTTAATAACAACAATTTAATATTAATAGATTACTTATCACATGAAATATTATCAAATTATTAGCATTTTTCAATAAAAAAATATTATTAGAAACTAGACAAAATTTATGGTATTTCCACTCCTTTCGTAAGCGTAAGTTTTCTCGCATGACATGATGTAGGCCAAATTTAATGTTAATTTGTATGAACAATATTATTATTCTTAAGGGTCTTTGTACTAGAATAGTTTATTTTTATTTTTATTTCTATTCCTAAATTACACCTGAAATGTTTGGAGTTATTTTTTTTTATAAAATACTTCCAAACTATCAACGTCACAACTGCATGTTACTGGTACTGATACTGGTGGGGAGACTAAGTCTAGCTAGTTTCCCTATTAGTCCTTTTTTGCAAATCCCAAAGCCAATAATACCAATGATAGTCTATTTTACCTCAAACTCTGTATCAAAACTTTTCGTTGTTCTAATGAAGTTAAAAAGGCTGGACCATTTTATGGATGAACCTTCCATGTTTTCGTATTTCATCCGAACCCAGAAGTCTGCATCTGAGGAACGCAAATCGGTCGCATTCTGTTATCTAGTGAAGGGCAGTTTCCGTTGCGTTTCTGCACAGATTGCAGAGTTCATCGTCTACTATCCCAGGGATCTTTAGATGTTTTTTAAGTCTGCAGTGGCCTATTAGTACTCCGAAGATAAGTCCGATTTCCTTTATAGTTATACCTAGCAGCCACTTAGTTCTAGAGAGCGATGGGTTTTTACCTGTTTTTTTTTTAAATCCAATCAAGGACTTCTTTTCGCTGATGTTTCTTGGATATTCCTGTGTCAGGTTCCGGACCTATAATAGGAAATCCACTCTTTTCCTTATGAGGGTATCTGCTTTTTCAATGCCTATAATTCCCTTGTGACCGGGAACTCACGCTAGTTCCACTCTCTTGGAGTAGGCCAATGTCTCCAAAGCCTGTTTAGACTCCCGTACCAGTGCGAAGGTCATTTTGGAGGATTCTAATACTTGAAGTGCTGACTAACTACCCGAATAGATAGTAATGGCAGAACTCTCGCAATTAAGAACTTCTAAACAAGTGGCTGCCGAAAGTATAGCAAACACCTCCGCTTGAAATATGGTACCATTTCTGCCTAATGGTATACTTGATTCTATATTTAAATTCTGTATATAGACTCCTGCGCTCGTTAAGCCATTTGGGTCTTTACTCGGCCCATCAGTGAAACAGGGCAGGTAGTCCTTCTGAGTTTCTATTGAACCCTGTACCCAATCTGTTATATGTTATAACGTTAGTGTCTAAAATAAAGCTTTACTCAGGCGGCGAATATAGGTACTGTAAGATAGATAACTCTTTTCCCAGCATCCTGGCTATTTCTAAGTGGTCAGTGTATGTCCCTGTTTCTTGCCATGATTTGTTATCCTTCATTCTTAAAAATACCATGACCGCTTCACCTATTATCCATAGATGTAGCGGGATCAAAGACAATGAGACTTCAAGGTCGTTTGTAAATGTAATTAAAACCCCAAGTTATGCCTACTATTATGGTTTTCATTTTAACCCCTACCAAATTTCATTCCAGTTTAGTTTAGAATCTATGGTAATACTGAGGTATTTGACATTCTGCCTTAATTGAAATTACTTACCAAGAAATTTGGATCCTTAAAGGGGTCAGCTTACATTTCTTGGTAAAGAAAATCAACTCAGCCTTTGATGGATTAACTGGTAAGTGCATTTCAGTAAACCATGTCCGAACAATGTTGCGTGCGACTTGTATCTGTTCAAAATTGTATTTTTGAACATTCCTGTAATGAGGATCGCACCGTAGTCCGCGAATGCCTGACCATACATCTCAACTTCCTCAACTATATTTAATAGGTCATTATGTAAGGGCATTCATTACTATGCCCACCACCGCCTGTGCCTGCAATCTGATTGCTTCTCCTGCTTCTTCTTCTTTTTAGTACAAATCTTAACCAACTGATCAGTCCAGTTGAGGAAAATATATTTACTAAGGCTTTACAAACTGCTTCTGGCTCGGTCTTATCGAATGTACCTTCTACATCGAAAAAGAGTCATATCACAGACTTCTTTTGGTATAGGGCCTTTTCTAATTTCTCTATTAGGGAGTCTAAGGCTGTGTCAATAGATTTTCTCTGGAGATAAGCATGTTGGTTTGGTTGTAACGGGTTATGAGCAACATTTTACAAGTTAAGTGAACTGCCACCAACTTCTCCAGTATATTAAATAAAAAGAAGGTTACATAGAGAAAATTATTTTATTGTTTTGAGTTCCTTGGTTCATTTTTGCAGTTTGGCCACTTAAACCCAAAACACCCATATATCCAAGTGCTAGTGAGGATTTAAGAAGAGTTTTAATTCGTTGAAGTAATACATTACACAGGCAGATCTACGGGTGGGGAGGAGCTTTTGGGATTTGGGTCAATGATAGGAGGATTGTCTTTATTTATTACCTTACCATTCGGGATGTGAGTCACCATGAAATGAGTCAAAGTATCCTCAAGATTGGAGGTCCACGTATCGTTCGCCTTTTTTAAAACAAAAGGTGGTTATTGTTCCCTAGTATTGTTATTAACCAGGCCTCACGAGTGTTTTCCGCATTACTGCAACCTTCCCGTTTGCGCCTTCTTAATGGTATTTTGTAAATATCAGAAGTGGTACGATAATGATTCCAGTCTTCTTTTAGTTTTGTTTTATTGTAGGCTATCCTGGTGGACTTTTTTTAACTTATCCAGTTCATTAGACCACCATCTGACTTTTCTTTGATTCTGGTCTCAAAGGAAATAGACTGGAGTTCGGATACCGCCACAACGGCTGTCTCGAGGAGGCTAGCCTCCTAGTCTATATCCTTTCTTGGGCACAGCCTATTCACCAAGGGTTGTGAGGCTTTCCAATCTAATCCCAAGTTTCTAATCAGTATTTCTTTTTGGGATTTCTTTTTTTGTGTTACCAAACACAATATAGAAAAAGCAGTACTTTGGATGACATTGACATAGCCACTATAGATAACGTAACCATACCACCCGGTGTCCCTAGGATTTGGTGAAGGACATATAAATGTTCCTCTTTTTATGATGGAAGGTTGGTTAAAAATTGTTTCCGATGTCTTTGGTAGTATTGGTCCATTTTTATTTATACTTTGTTAATAACTTTTTAAAAATTTATTTATTGAGAAATATTACAATCTGTCTCAATTATGGACACGTTTAGAATTTAATTTAGTACTTTATAAATACAATTTTAAAAAATCTGACTGGGCGTTTTTCTACAATCCTCCTTCTCTAGCAACAAATTTTAAGAAAGGAGTGTACCACATTCAAAGGAGAATCTGACCACATTAGCCGTAGATGGTGAAAAAACCACACCTCCAGTTCACTTTCAAAACGCCAAAATTTTTCGTTATTTGATTGTTGAACCTGATCTTTGCGGTTATTCATTTTCTCGAAAAAATTTCCTTTTCGATTATCATATTTCAACATAGATATAATTAATATCGCATAAGTAATATCCCTATTCTCCTACTTCCTCTTCTTCTAGGGATACCAGTGTTGCTAAGAATGGCCATTACAGAAATATTTTGAATAAACTAAAAAAAGTTTATAAACTAAAACTTTCGACGTTTTAAGCCACAGAAAATTGTCCTGAAGAAAATTTTGTTTGAAAATACGGTTTTCTAATGCTTTACTCAAAACATACAAAATTTTTTATATTTGTTTATTTAGAAATATTACATTCTGTCACATCAAGGACATTAATAATAGTGTTCAGAGAAAGCACACTCACACTCTATTTACAATAAAAAAAAAATAATATAGAAACTTAATAATAATAAATACAATAAAATAAAATAAAAATAAATACAATAAAATAAAATAAATGTATATAAACAAAAGAACTAACCT